CAGGATTGTTGATTCTCTGTTTGGCTTAGTTTTTCGGATCTTTGTTGTGGAGGGACGGCGTGGTGCTTCTGCCTAGACCGCCATCTTGCCGGAGTCTCCAGATTTTTATCTTTTAAAATTTTTTATCGGAAGAAGCTGAAAAAAGGTCTAAAATTGCTAAATTAAGCTAATGTATAGGATTTAGAATTGGAAATATATGTGGATAATTAAAGGATAAATTAAAAATTTGGCATTTTTTGATACAATATATTAAAAAGTGTCTACTATGTGCCAGAGACCACGCTAGGTACCTTACTGAAACCGTATTGTAATTCTTAACCCTGCCTAACGCATTCAGTTTCTTTTTCAGAAGTGAAGAATCAGTCACAGAGATAGTACATAACTTGTACAGGGTCACACAAGACCCTGACTGCCATCAAGCTAAAGACATATTCTTTTCATCTAGTTGAACTAGCTTTCTGCTATGATCAGTTATTGTTTGTATTTTACTTTTGATGTAGAAGTACATTTCCTGGTTTATATTCATCCTGTCATTTCGTTGTTGCCTTATAATTTAGAACAAGGGAAGGCGAACAACATGTAAAGCATTTAATGAGGGGTGACTTTGTGCAGCGAAGCACTGTAAGGCATTTTTGTAATGTTGCAAAATATAATCCTTAAATTTTTTTCAACTTGTTTCTTCCACAGAGGAAAATATACCTCTGGCTGGCCTGTTAAAATGCAGTGTGGATAAAATCTTCTCCATTTTGACTTGGTAGACTTTGCCCACATTTAACAGAAGAATTGTTATCATGTTATCTTGTAGAATATGCTTGTACAGTGGGCTAACTTTATTCACTAGAGGTGAGAATTTTCAGGTCCTTTTTCTGTCTTGAAGAAAAAATGCACTGGGTGTTTGTTCAGACACCATTGTGCTTGTCTCAGTGTGAGGTTCAAAATTTCCCACTTTGAGTAGATGTAAAACATTATCACAGTGCATTCCTTTTTGTAGTTCATCACTTTTGGTAGTTTTTGTACATTATTATAGTTTTAAATATATATATCTATAGATAGATGATGGTATCCTCACAACGAAAGTAATGTATTTTTACTTGGTTTATTGTCATGGGCACATTCATGTCACTGAGCATCCAAGTGGTGTGATGGAAAGTGATTAAGTCTTTCCTTCTTTCTTTCTTTTTTTTAATCAGGTGATCAGACTCTTAGAATTTGGGATATGAAGACAACAGGAGTCAGAATCGTGATTCCAGCACATCAGGCAGAAATTTTGAGCTGTGACTGGTGTAAATACAATGAGGTATAGTGTGTGGCTCTAACCTGATCTGCTGAGTTCTCCTAAGATTAAAATGTTTTAGATTTTATCTTTGTTTATGTGGACTTCGTTGGTGTTCATGGATGATTAAGTTATATTTGGTCCCTTTCATTTGTAATTAATGATTGTGAGTGACCTGCATTAGCATTAATTGGATTTAAGTGCACATAAAATGGGCAGAATGAGAAACAGAAATTTTCCAAGTTCAACAGTGCAGGCTTACTTGTTTGTTTTGGGAACCTGCTGTATAATTTATGTCATTTTTTTTTTTTCTCTTAACCCTGCCAATTTGTATCAGCTTTTGCCTTCGTTTATTTTTCACTTTGCTAGTTAGGCTACTGAACTATTTGTAACTTGATTTCTAATTTGACAGTTCATTAGTTTTTTAAAATTTTCTGTTTCATCTGTCCCTATAAGTCTAACAGAGCTTCGCTTCTGTAACATAGCAGTGTCCACGTGTAAATTTTTTGCAAAGCTTCAGTTAACCGCATAAGCAGATGAATTAGAAATAGAAATGGATTAAAAAGTGTTGATACACTTTTTATGTATCTGAAGTGGTCTATTGACTATGACAAAAAAGGTAAAACTTATGCCTTGTTTTTTCCCAATTTTAAATTAGTTAATCAAAGTTAAGAGAACATTGTATGGGCAGAGTTCTTTAAGTAAAAAGAAATAAAACAGATTAAAAGAAAACATAGTACATATTCAATAATAATATTTGACCTAAATTAAGATTTCAGCATTGATGAGTATAGTTCAAATCTCCCTCATCATAAATGAATTTTCCATATAGGAGAATTAAATTGTAGACTGTATGTTATACTTTTGGGAATTCTAAAACAGATGCCGATACATACACTTGAGGGTGGTTTAAAAAATTTTTTTTTAATCATTGAAACTTTTTATTGAGCTTATGTTTAAGCCTAACATATTTATACAATGAATTGCTGCTCTGGTTGACATGGTGTGGTTGACTGTGAACCCACCACTTGGCCCTGTGAGCCTGGAGCTCTGGGTGCACCTAGAACTCTAGATAGCAGAATTTGTAAAGCCTGACTAGATAGAGCTCACCACTATTTGCATAGGTTCTCAGATATGATTAGATATTGTATTAAGTCTTGACCCATGAGTTAGGAACAATGATTGATTTAGATTTAGAAAAACATTCAAAAATTTAATTTATACCCTTTGCTCTTTCAAATATTCCTGAATTAATAGACCTCTTTCCTTTTAATGTCTGATAAAACCTCAGAGCACGTTGAAACTTTGAAAAGAAAAACGAGCTTGTTGTTATTGTTGTTAGGTGCTGTCGAGTCAGTTCTGACCCATAGTGACCGTATATACAACAGAATGAAACACTGCCTTGTCCTGCACTATCCTCACAGTCGTTGCTGTGTTTGAACCCATTGTTGCAGCCACTATGTCACTCCGTCTCATTGAGGGTCTTCCTCTTTTTTGCTGACCCTCTACCTTACCAAGCATGATATCCTTCTCCAGGGAGTGGTCCCTCGTGATAACATGTGTAAAGTATGTGAGACAAAGTCTCACCGTCCTCACTTCTAAGGAGCATTCTGGCTGTACTTTTTCCAGGGCAGATTTATTTCTTCTTCTGGCAGTCCATGCTGTATTCAGTATTCTTCCACAGCACCGTAATTCAAATGTATCAAATCTTCTTTGGTCTTCCTTATTCGCATGCATGAGATTATTAGTCAGATGTAATTTTTAATCCCTTATGTACTTAAAACTACTAAAGGTGAGTTGGAAAATCTACTACACTGTTTGGGACTACTGCCTTATTCTGTGGTGTGGTAGTGTTCTGTCATATACATAAAGCATATTGAATTCTGTTTCTCTCAAGTCATATTAATTTTTGCTTTTTAATGTCTGTTTTGATTCCTTTGTATCCTTGTTCCACAACTTCTCAGGAATAACTCCTGAGTTCATGTTCAGTAACTACTGGAGAAATAGATACTGTTTCTAAAAGGAAAATCTAGGTACTGCTTACTTGCAAAGATGCCAAAGTTTACTTTTCTCTGAATTGTTTTCAGAATTTACTGGTAACAGGGGCAGTTGACTGTAGTTTGAGAGGCTGGGACTTGAGAAATGTGCGACAACCAGTGTTCGAACTTCTTGGCCACACCTATGCTGTTAGGAGGGTTAAAGTAAGTCTTTATCTTTTCTTTTTATACGTAGAATACGATTTTAAGTATAGAGATATTCAATGAAGCATATATAAAAGATAGTTTTAGTGTTTAGGGGTTGGGGACTGATAAATTCTCTTATGCATGTTTTTGCTACCCAATTAATGATAATAAATACATTGAAAGCTAAAATTAGGTAAAGTATTTGAATAATTATTGGCTGAGTTGGGACAGTCAGTACTCAGGGTTAAATAAGAATGTTTCCCTTATTCTGTCATTCCCAGTCTACTCTTCCTTTTAATATTATGTTTTAACTGAGTAATTTACTTTTAGTATTATTTAAAAAAAAAAAAATTGTTGCCATCAAGTCGATTCCAACTCATAGTAACCCTGTATGACAGAGTAGAACTGCCCTATAGGGTTTTTTCCAAGGTTATAATCTTTATGGAAGCAGACTGCCACATCTTTCTCTCTTTATATATACTTCATAATTTTCCATTCCGAGGGAAAGTCTCTTTACTTTTTTGAAACTGGTATAGAGAGATGGTTAATTATTTTTTTCCCTTGACACGATGAACTTTGTTGAGCTGCTCCCAAGAAATTTGCCTGGTTATAAGGTGACTTTAGTTTCTCAGCTTCTGTTTAGACAGGTTTCGCTGAGTCTCTGTGGAACACATCTTACTAAGTGACAACTCCCAGTTTCATTTTTTGTTCTTCTTGTTAAGGATAAAAGTATTATTGATCTTTTTAATAATACAATTATATGTTATATCTATTTTTAAAATTGTAAATTTCAGTTAAATTGATATTTTAAATTTTACAGACTACAGCACAACCTATGAGACACAGTAGCCTGTTTTGTTTTGCTTTTCCTTTTAGTGGTGGTCTTATGTGGACAGGTTCAAATAGTCGAAAAATGTCTTCTATGTATGTTTCAGAGTGGTTCTGAAAATGAATAGGGTAATGTAGTGAAAGTAATATGCAAACTGTAAAATGCTATACAAATGTAGCTATAATTGTGTATATAACTTTTAAAGTGCTGATAAGAAAAACATTAAAGTATAATTGCAAAGGGCAGCCTATTAAAGTTTATTTATTACTTATCTAAAAGACGTTAGTTGCCTTTAAATTTGCAGTTTTTATCCTTGATAGCATTTTTCATTTGCTATGAAATACAAATAACATAAACATTATTTTAAAGATTTTTAAATGTTTATTTTGACACCTGTAATTATAGCAGTCATAATATGTATTTATGAAATTGGTGAATTATGTAACTGTATACTTATATTATCACATATCTAAATCCCTTGTATCTCTAGGAATCTTTTTGAATAGCCAATATGAAATTATATTTAATTTTTCCAGGATAGCAAGATTTTGAGAATATTTATTGTAAATAAGCTCTAAAAAGCTTAAAGGATGGCTTTCTTTGGAGAACGTCAAAATAAATCTTTATCATATAGATGGATATTTAATGGGTTGGAATGATTTTGGCCTCAAATTAAAGATATAAGGTTCGGGAAAGCATAATTTAATTTATTATAATTTAGTGAGGGTGACCATATGAAGTGGCGTGTTGTAATTACAGCTAACCTCAAATAGTTTTTCTCTTCTCTTGTAGTTTTCACCATTTCATGTTTCTGTGCTGGCCTCTTGCTCCTATGATTTTACTGTGAGGTAAGTTTCATTGTGAAATACCAAGTAGCATTTTCATCTTTTCAACTTTTATGAAAGTTAACATGCTTATCTTACTAATATAAAAATAATCTGAGTGGGGCCCATTTAAATATTTGCCACTAGGATTAATGTTATATTTTTTCTGTTTTCATGATCTGGTCACATTTATGAGTAAATTCTTTACTATTTAAATATTAGCTGGGCAGCTCTGTTTAAAAGCCTTTTTTCCTGGCTTTTTTCAAAACCCAAGCTTGTTCCTATGGTAACATTTTCCCACTCTGTAAATTGCATAGACCAATATCTTTTAAGTTAATTTATTTTAATTCGGAAAGTTTATTCCTTCAGGTATAATTATATGAACTTTAAGGCTAAGTTTGTTATTGATGAAAAAGCAATTGGCATGAGTGTATGTATGTTTATATGTGTGTGTATCAATCCATACCTCCAATCACAGGGTTCATTCTATTTCTCTTCCTTTCCAAATTTATAATTTCTGGGTACTGTTATCTACCATATATTTATTTGCTGAACCCTAGGTGTCAGTAATTTCTAGTTAATGCATGTGATCAAAGAATACTGTTTGTAGTCTTTCTACTTTATAGAATTTACTGATATTTTGTGTAGGGGGCCTAATAAATGATGAATTTTTGTGAATATTCCATGTGCAATTGAGAAGAAGGTATATTTTTTTCTTCTCAGGGTGTAAAGGTCCATATATAACTATAAACCAAAACCAAACCAAACGCATTGGCATTGAGTTGATTCAGACTCATAGTAACCCTTTAGGACAGAGTAGAACTGCCACATAGGACTTCCAAGGCTGTAAATCTTGATGGAAGCAGACTGCCACAGCATTCTCCTTCGGTGTGGTTCATGGGGTAGAACCACTGAACTTTCAGTTAGCAGCTGAGTGCTTAAACACTGTGCCACCAAGCCTCCTTCTGTAACCATAAGATCTACTGATTCATTAGGTTGTTTAGGTCATCTATATCCTTTTTTTATTTTTGGTTCACTTAATCTGCCTTTTACTGAGTGTCATGTCAAAATATCCAATATTGGTATGCTTCTGTGTCTTCCTGTATCTCTTGTAGTTTGGGTTTTTTTAAAAAGTGGATGCTGTGTTATTTGGTAAATGGATACTTAAATATCCGTATTGTGAATTGAGGCTTTTAGCATTAAAGAGTTTCCTTCTTTGTCACAGTTAATGCTTTTTGGTTTTGATTATGCTTTTTCTCATATCAGTATCATTGCCTTGGCTTTTATATTGTTTCCATTTTCCAGGTATACCTTTTCACATACTTTTATTTTTATGCCTTCTAGTTGTATTTAGTGATAAAATGAGAAGTTCGGTAGCAAGTCTGTCATATTATTTTATGTTATTTCTACTTCGTAATAACTTGCAATATGTAACATATAGGACTTACTTATTTTGTTTCCACTCTTGTTTCCACCTCGGTCTCACATATATAACTTAATATAGTAAATGTTAATCATCAGTCTTTTTGCTGAAGTTTCTCTCCAGTTATCTCTTGGTTTGATGAAGAGATTTCCTCAAGAAGGTGTCATGGGCACAGAATTCTCATGAGCTCTTGCATGTTTAAAACTATTTTTCTATAGCCTTGATGTTTGAAGAATAGCTTAGCTGGATATAAACTCCTTGGTTCACACTTTCTTTCCTTAAGATTTTTTTAAAATGCTGCCTCGTTTTTGCCTTGCTTAGTATGTTGTTTTTGAGAATTTTGATGCCTGTCTAATCTCTTGTCTTTATGTTATTTGATCCTTTTTCATGGGAACCCTGAGGATTTTCTCCTTAGATTTACTGTGGTATGTTTCAAGTTGATCATTGTAGGTCAGTTTTCTGGGAAAAAAAAAAAAGCTATGCAGAAGCCTTTTTAAATATGTAGATTCAGGTATGATTTTTGTTATGAATTGAATTACGTCCCCCAAAAATATATGTTGTAAATTCTAACATTTGTGCCAGTAGTTATAATCCCATTTGAGAATGGATAGTCTTTGTTATGTTAATGTGGCAGGATTAGTGGAGGGCGTATCTTGAGTCAGTTCAATCTCTTTTGAGACATAAAGTGATTAAAGAAGCAAGCTAGCAAGCAGAGATGGGGGAAGACACATGCCAAGCCACATGAAGATTGCCTAGGAGCAGTATCTCATAGAAGACAAGGAACTTCCTCCAGAACCAACAGAGAGAGAAAGCCTTCCTCTAGAGGTGGCACCCTAAATTCGGACTTATCACCTCTTAAACTGTGAGAAAATTAATTTCTGTTTGTTCAAGCTACCCATTTGTGGTATTTCTGCTCTAGCAGCACTAGATAAATAAGAACTTGGTACTGGGAGTGGGGTGCTGCTCTAACAGATACTTAAAATGTGGGAAAGCAGTTTTGGAGTTTTAATGTGCCTAATAATAAAAGCCAAGATTGCCTTGAAGAGACTGTTGGTATAATTATGGACATCAAAGGCAATTCTGGTGAGGGCTCAGAAGGAAGTGAGGAGAGCTATAGAGAAAGTTTCTGTCGTCTTAGAGAATGCATATGGTGCCAGCAACAGAATCTTGCTACAAATGTGGACATTAAATGTGCTCCTGGTGAGGCTTTAAAAGAAAATGATGAACAATATGATCGGACAGTGGAGGAAGAGAGATGCTTTTATGCACTGGCAAATAACTTGTCTGAGTTATGCTCACATATGTGATGTAAGGTAGAACTTGTAAGTGACGAACTTGGATATCTTGGATTTCTAAGCAGCATTTTAAATGGGTCACATGCTTTCTCCTTGCTGCTTATAGTAAAATGTGAGAGGAAATAGATGGACTTAAAAATGAACTGTGCAAAATGAAAACAGAACTTAAAGATTTGGAAAATTCAGTTGTACAAACTAAGGACAAGTGTCCTAGAATGTTCACCAAGAATCTGGCTACACAGTCTTTTGTTAAAGAGGTTAAGCCTGTGACCAGTGGATCCAACCAACTACCACAGCAGAAAACCCATCAGCTTAGACTGAAGAGGACAGAGAAGAACAAAAGGAAAGAATGCTGCCTTCCTCTTGCAATTCTATAGGCAGGAGACAGGCCAAAGGAATTACATCTGTTTTCCTCCAAGAAAAGAAAAGGACCATCCCTGGAGCAGTTCAGAGATCAGCAGAACTGTTGGAAGGAGTACAGGAAGCAGGGCCTTCTCAGTTTCAAGGGGTGGGGCCATGGTCTCCTGGATCTCAAAGGATGGGGCCACAGCCTCCTGGGTTTCAAAGAGTCTGATCTTTGCTTACTTGGTTCTGGAGTGTGGGCTGCCGTTAAGGTATGGCAGGGGGATGGGTCACTGCCCAAAGCTGAGGGGGTAGGGCTACCATGATCAAAGGGCAGAAGAATGGGGCCTACTGGGACCAAGGGGTTGGCATAACCACCCAGATGGACTGAGAGAATGGGGCTGCCTAAAGCCAAGGGAGCAGAGTTGCCATCCCAGAGGGCTTGGAAGGCAGAACTGAAGCCCAAGGCCAAGGAGTCTCAACCCATAATCCAGAGGGCATGGCCAACACCCAGAGTTTGGAGAAGAGAGGATTATTTTCAAGGCATGAGAGCTAATGTAAATTGTTCTGCTGGGTTTTGGACTTGCTTGGTCCTATTATCCCTTCTTTCCCTCCAGTTTCTCCCATTTGTAATGGAAATGTCTACCTTGTGCCTATTCTCCCATTGTACTTTGGAAACAAGTAACTTGTAGTCTAGATTTCACAGGTTCACAAATGAAGAGGAATTTTGCCCCAGAATGTTATATACCTACATCTCACCCATTTTTTATTTAGATGATTCAGAAGATGAGGTTTTGGACTTGGTGTTGATCTAAGACTTTTGAGATGATGTGATGAGGTGGATGTGTTTTGCTTGTGGCAAGGACATGAATTTTTGGGTGCCAAAGGTGGAATGTTATGGATTGATTTGTGTCCCCCAAAAATATGTGTCATAAAACCTAACCTCTATGCCTGTGGTTATAATCCTAGTTTGGGAATGGATTGTCTGTGTTATGTTAATGAGGTGGGATTAAATATAGGGTGTATTTTGAGTCCATCTCTTTTGAGATATAAAGAGATTAAACAAGCAAGCCAGCAAGCAGAGATGGGGGAAGACACATGCCAAGCCACATGAAGATTGCCTAGGAGCAGAAGCTCAGAAGAGACAAAGACCTTCCTCCAGAGCCAACAGAGAGAGAAAGCCTTCCCCTAGAGGCAGCACCCTGAATTCAGACTTCTAGCCTTCTAAGCACTGGTGGCACAGAGGTTAAAGCAATCATCTGCTAACCAGAAGGTCAGCAGTTCGAAACCACCAGCAACTCCGTGGGAGAAAGATGTGGCAGTCTGCTTCCATAGAGATTTACAGTCTTGGAAAACTAATGGGGTCGCTATAAGTCGGAATCAACTCGATGGCCGTGGGTTGGTTTTTGGTTGGTAAGCTGTGAGAAAATAAATTTCTGTTTGTTAAAGCTACCATTTCTGTTATAGCAGCAGTAGATAACTAAGACACTTTTATTTCCAGAAATTTTTTTATTCTGATTTTAAATATTAGTTCTGATTTATTGTTTTATCTTTTGCAGGGACTCTAATTACACATGAATTGAATCTCCTTTACCTCCCATATTTCAAATGCTTGCTCTCTGACACATTTTCATTTCTTTATTTTCCTTCTCTTGGTTGTTTTCTGCTGTCTTCAGTTCCCTTATGTTTTCATGCAAATCTATTCTTCTTTTGGCACCTTGTAATTTAGTCTTCATTTCTGATTTTGCCTTTTTCTCCTATTCTTTTCTTGAATTCAGTCAACCCTTATTTCACATCTTTGTGGTTTTTTTCTACTTCTTTTGTTTTTGAATTCTTTTCATATCCCTAAATGCTTGTTTGATGATACTTAATTTAGAGTGTTGTGTTACAATTTTCTTCTATTTTGCTGTTTGCTTTTTTGAAGAATATTTTCGTCAAGTGAATTGTTTGAATTCTCATGCCTA